TTTAATTAACATCTTCATTATCCTCATCAATATCCATCATCTTCTCTAAGCCTAATTGAGTTATTATCAAGTCAACTAATATCTCGCATGGCTCTCTAGCAATTCCACTCCGCATTAGTCTTCTAAAAATCTAAAATTAAACACAAAGACTAGAAAATACTTGATACTAATATTTATGTGTGAATATGTATCTATGTATCCTTTAAACTCACAAAACTCTCTTAAATACACAAATAATCTCACTATAATATTCACTCCCACTCAACAAAATATGAATCATTGTATGGATACACGTACATGGACTTGTAAAGACAAAAAATGAATGAAACTTATGAACAAACCCTAAAGATTATAGAGAGTATACGGTGAACATAAAAGTGTGTGTGTAGAGAGAATGAGAGTTTTGAGAGGGGAGAAGAAGAAAAAGAGAGAACAAGAGTACTTACAACCTCTTAAGCCTTCCTTTTTTCGGATTCTATCTTGATATATCACATCTCTCTCGTCACCTCTGTGGGGTTTTACTTCACCAAAATGAGCCACAAAATTGCAGAAATATGTGTATGCTTATAAAAAAATGAAATGGCTAAATATCTCCTAAATATCTTGGTTGTAAGCTCACTTTTTTCTCCTTTTGGCATGCAAAACTACTCTCGAGAATTAACAAGGAAGAAAAAGATTGGTGGTGGTGGTGGTGGTGGTGGTGGGGGGGGAGTGGTTGACTTTAACCTAGCCAAGAGGGAGAAGTAAATGAATGTGATTGGCCGCATATTTGGGAGAGATTCCCTTAGTAAGGAAACTTTTTATAAAAACTGGTGGAGTATTTTATAAAAATAAAAGTGAAAGTTTATAAAGTTTATAAATTTAATTTGTTAGGTGTTTATTTAAAAAAATTGACATAAGCATTTTGATATAAAAATTTGAATTATATTAATTACATTTTGTGAAACTCTTAACTTATAATTTAATTATGTTGGATTTAGAATTATATTGAATTGTTTAACTTAATGAAATTGTTGGGTTAATTTAGTTAAACCTTTAAAATGTTCTAATTCTCATAAGTTTTAGGTATTGAGTGTATGAAATTTGTAACAAGTTGTGTGGTTATAATATTGACATTTTATAAGATAGTTGGATAATTCACAGGCCAACATGATTACTAAGTATACTTTAAGGTGTTTTTAACTAATTTCGAGTTGCTAGTAGGTCATGACTTACCTCTTACTAATAAGTCTAGGATGGTTTGTGTATACACGTGAAATTTCAAGATATCCAAGTTTGGTAATATCCTGAATGTTGACGTTGCCACAGTTTTCCTGTTTTGCTTGCCTTGGTGTTGCTTTGCCCACTTATTATTATCATTATGTATTCCCATAGTTTTAGATTTTCGAGGTAACCCATTGTGACTTAGCTTTTGAAGCTTTTATGCAAGGGTTTGTTAATCCCACGGTTAATGTACGACTAGGATAGGGTGTCATTTGCCCTTATTTTGTTGTTGCTTTTGATTGTGAATTATCGAGGTGCCTTTGTAGCCGACTTTATACTTGCCCTTGATACCTAAGTATGGTATCGAAAAGCTTTGATCACATTAGGGTGTCGTTTGCCCTATATATGTAATACTGCTATATGATTATATGAGCGTATTAGATGATCATCAGATGGTGCTATGATTAGGGGGGAGCTTCAACATTTTATTTGGGGGGCCGGAAATATAATATGTATAAAAATCGATGAGCAGGGAGGGCCACAGCCAAAATTTTATATTTTTGGGCCTAATATGTATAAAATTAAAGTATAGAGACTAATATAAAAAAAATCAGGGGGGGGGGGGGGGGGCACAGCCCCCCTAGCCCTAATAAAGATCCGCCCTTGGCTATGATCATGGTAGGTTGTCGTTTTCCCTTTACATGCAATGCTACTATTTGATGGTGCTCAGAATGAGCATTTTATGATGCTTTGACCATGTTAGGGTGTCGTTTGCCATCTATCTAAATATTGTTATTTTCTTGATGTGTGTCATGATAAATTGTCAAGTCTGAGAAGTCTTTGTATGTACGCAAGGGATTAAATTGATTCTTTTTTTTTTATGTATATTTTCAGTTCCTTATTATATGTAAAACTTCCTCAATTTTTTAGTGTGTCATGACCAAGTAATTGTATCCCCCTCTGTTGTCTGCTTGTCTTATTGTTTCTCAACACATTCCCTGACCCGAAAAGATCTATTATGTACTAGCCGGTTGTAGTAGCTTTTTCTTGTGGCTCTTGTCTGCTTGTCTCATTGTTTCTCAATGCATATTCCCTAACCCGAAAAGATCTATTATGTACTAGTTGGTTTTAGTAGCTTTCTGTTTGCTTCTTATAAAATACTTTGATGGATTGCGCTACCTCTCGTCGTTTGGACAAAAGTTCTAAGTTTGTTCTCAACTCTTCATTATTTGCTTCTTGATCATAGTTCATAGCCCTTGTCGTGAGTAAGATAAGTTCTAGTGGGATTATTGCTTCGAAAACATAGACCAAATTGAATGGTGTCTCATTCGTTGTTATTCTTGGTGTTGTTCTATATGCCCATAGTACACTTGGTAATTCATCCACCCATCGTCATTTTGTTTCATTTAGTCTTGTTGTTAACTCATGCACTACTGTTCGGTTAATGACTTCAGTTCGACCATTTGCCTCCAAGTAGGCTATAGACGTAAATCGTTGTTTGATTTGAAGATCTTCACAATAGTCCCGAAAAGGATTGTTTGCAAACAGCGTACCGTTGACTAATATTAGTGTGTTTGGTAGGCCGTAATGGTAAATTATTTGCTCCCATAAGAATTTTATGCCCTTGTTGGAAAACATGTATGGAAGGAACTAAATTTGGTCTGTAATCTTTTACTCATAAATTCTTTTTTAAATTGGTTTTTTTTTTTACATCAAATATTTGTTGATCCCATTTAGTTTTAAATTCTGATCAGCGATCAGTCAATTGCACGTCGTTGTCACTTTTATTTATAGCTTAAAACAATTTAAATAGATACTACAAACGATTAATATATATATAAGAAATATCAACATATTTTGATTTATTTTGTTTAGTGTAAATTACACAGTTGGTTCCTCTTTCTTGCATTGAATTGAATCCTTATTTTATTAAGACCTATAGGTAATGCACATTTTATGGACTTGTGTACATTTATTTCTTTAATTAGGAAACTTTCAAGAATAAGACAAAATTATAAAGTACTTCTGTAATTTATTTAATTTGATAGGTGAATAAATTAGCCAGCTATAAGACACAAAACTGAAGAATGGAATGAAGTATAGAGAAAGTCGAACAATCTTAGTCATGGAAGCAATGAGACTGAAGATCTAAATAAACGACATTGTAGTTTGAAAATTTTCCCATTATCATTTGTATTTTTTATTTTTTATTTTTTTCGTTATCAGGACATTGAATTGTGATAAATTCTTTTAATTATAACATCATACTTACCTTCCATTATAACATTCTGCTTTATCTTTTAAAATACCCAATTTACCTTGCTTGGGTTCAAACGTGCCTAGAAGATTTTTCTTCATTTTAATCTAAATTGGTTATCAACAACAATTATTACAAGATGTTTCTCATCACTATTTGAGCATTCAGTGATTGGTAGTTGAGAAGAAATTTGTGGATATTACAGAGGTTAGGTTACATGAAAACATAATAACCAAAATTTCTGCAAAGTTAAATGATAGTAATTATAATGAAAAATTACTCCTAAGTAAAGAAAGAAAGCTACAAGAAAGAAACCAAATCTAACCTCTGCCCTTACAACCAAAACATCCATCAAGCTGCTTTGGCTTTTCGTGATGGAGGACGTCGGAAAAGACTGATCAAATCATCCACTCCCTGTTCCCAATAAATAAATAAATAACATCATTTCCATTTTTTTTTAACTTTTTTTTTTTAAGATCCTTAAAAACTATTATAACATAAACATTAACATACCCTGGTAGTTATGACAAGGAAGCTGAAAAGTGTAATTAAATATGATCCCAGGACTAGTAGCAACAGCAAGTCAAATGTTACACTCGCAACCTGAAATAATAAGTTAAAAAAAAAAAAAAAAATTCAAAATCTTTGATGTGAAAGTGAAATAAAATAATTATAGAAATAAATAATAAACTGACCTGATAAATCTGGAGTGTAGCAACTGTGGAGTCATAAAATGTGAACATTCCATTAAGCACGTCATGTTGCAAATTCACCTCTGCAACATGATCTGCTAATTCCTGTTTGTTATTCAAATAAAAACCACTAAATGTCAGTTGTTATTTGTTAATGCTCATTAATCAATTATTTAAAATAAATAAATAAATGTTTACCTTTTTCAATGCCATGATGAATGGATTGTCCTTTGAGAGAAATGGAGCTACACGAGGTGTTGTTGATAAAAGATGAAGCCATGATTTTATGTAAAAAGGATTCACAGACAAACTTGTGTTATCTGCAAATATTTCCATCTTCTTCCCTTGTTGACCATATATATGCCTCTGTTGACATAATAATACCAAAATCATCAAAATTTTGTAAACCAATAATAATAAAATAATATTTTTATTAAAAAACACAATATGCTCTTTCTTACTGCAAGACTTTCAGCAACCAATTTCACACTCTGAACAACTGCATCTTCACTCACAAACTCTCTAATTCAATAAAAAAACAGAATCTCAGTTATCATTTTTATATTGATCATAAATAGTTTTTAAATATAATTATATAAAATATTCACCTGTTATCAGAAAGACCTCCAGTATTTTCCAACAAATTTGGAGCAACAGAAAGTCCAGAAACTGTTGCTGCTGTAACTCTTAACCTTGAAAACTGTTCATGCTCCCATGCTACCTGTATACAATTGGAAATGTTTATTAAAATAATAATAATAATAATAAAATTAAAAATTAAAAATTCTACTTCAAATTTTGAACTTACTCGGGAATTGGAAATGTTGATTTTCTTGTGCTTTAGCCCAACTTTGAGCCCTAATTCTTGTGCTACATCAGATAAACCCTGGATTTGCACACAAATTCGAATTAGAAATTTAGAATATATGATTATATGAAATTCCAAAAACTACAATGATTTTTTAATCTTTAATCTTTATTATCACTTACTTCAAAGATTTGTTTAACATATGCATTCTCTGGAGGCTTAGAAACATGAACCCATAACCCATTTTCCCCTGACCCAAGGCTATTCAAGCAGATAGCATAATCAATACTTTCTCTCAAACGTTGATCAAAACTTCTAAGCCACTGTATCAAATAAAAAAACACATTTAATCAAAGCAACAAACTTTATACATAAAAAATATATATATATATTCAGAAAGATAGTGAGTGAGTCACCTTTTGGGTTCCATTGTAGTTATAAGGTCCACCAGATGTCAAACCAAAGAGTAGATTATACTTTCCTCTAGTGTGAGGATTGGAATATAAGATGGAAAATAATCTAGCAATTTCAAGAAGTCCAACAACACCACTTCCATTGCTATCACTTCCAACAGATAATCCCTGGAGAGATAATGGAAGTAAGTAGTAAATACTTATACCATGTGACTTCATTGTAGAAAAGGGTAAAATGGTAAAATACCGGAGCTGCTCCAAATGTATCATATGATGCTACAATGGCAATAGTTGGGAGTTGGTTTGAATCTCCATCACCTTTCAAACCAGGCAACCACCCCTGTAAATAGTTAAAACATGGTGTAAGAAATCTTTTAAATTTTATTGCAATTCCAGATTTTTGATCAATTATAAAAACCTGGATGTTTGTGATTGTAGGAGATGTGAGTTTCTTGGGAGTTGGTGATGTGACAATAAGCTTGTATCTGTAACGAAAGAAACACTGCCTTTAATGACAATATATATATATAGAAACTTGGTTTAAGGGTATATAAAAAAAGATCCACTTTCAATGTTATATGAAGTAAAAAGATATAGTACTAATTACTAACCCCCCAGTAGTTGCAGTTGCAGGTTGACCAGCTGCATCGTTTTTCTTGATATCAGCTAACACTGTGTCTAAATCTTCATCTTCAAAAGCAAAATACACAGGATACTGTAAAATGAAAGATGTATTTAAGAAGCAAGATAGGAAAATGTAAGAAAAAATATTCATTTGTATATGAACGATGTTGACTTACATGGATACTAGAATGTATTAGCTTCTGCTCTAAATCCACCAGAATTTTCTTCAAATTCTCCTTATCAGAGCTTACACCATGTCCACCAACAGTTTCACTGTTGTCAGGATGAAAGATTCGAGGAAGTAGAAGTAGTAAGCCCCCTAAAGGCTTTCCCTGTTCAATATATTCTGCCATATGGTCAACAATAGTTAAAATTTTGAATCAGATTATTATAGAAGTAAAAAAGAATAAACATTTAATCCCAAATCAGATGGGGAAGGCTGATAGGAATCGGTGTGATTGATTTTGCATTAACCTTTAGAAATCCTATTTGATTTCGACCATTTATGAAAACCAATCCCAATAAATAACGAATTTATCAATTTCCTCTTATTCAAACTCAAAGAAAACCGGAGTCTAATCCTCAACCATGTCCATTAACCAAAACCATTTTCCGATCCAAGAACGTGGGAACTCCGAAAAAGCATCAGTACTCTCTTACGATCAATAAAATCAGGTCACGTGTATGATATTTGCATCGATGACGAACACATTAGCACGTATCGAATTGATCCCTACTCTATCGATTCTGATACGAAATTCAAATCGCAATTGATCAAAATACTTTATTGGATGCAAAGAAAAAGATAGTTACCTCGAATGAATGTTTCGTTCAATTCACTTAGGGGAAATATGACAACAGTACGGGAGAGATCGGAACCAGGAGCAAAGAGAGAAGAACCAGCGTGGTGATTAAGAGATGCGACACGAGATCCAAAAGGAACACCGGCGATATCATACTGTATAAGACGGTAAACGTCGACGACTGTAGATGCATCACAGAGCTCCACACAGGCCACTAATATGAATACAAGTGCAATGACCGAATAGAATGATTCGAACATTTGTCGTCGCCCCTCTGCTGCATTCGTGGGATTCGCCATTGATGAAATCAAGGAGAGAGAGGAGGCGTTTGGATGTGTATGGTACTAGGGTTTAATTAAGTAGCAATAGTGACGCCACTAAACAGTGGATGACGATAACATATCATATGACTCCGGAGTTGTTCTTCGCCGGCCTTTACCCACGAAATTTGTATCAAAACGACATGTTACTATGTCGTTTGACAAAATCGATTCATGCGATTTAGGTTTTTTTTTTTTTTTTTTTTTGGAGTTCGGAAAATTCAGATAACTAAACTGAAAATGAAGAAATATGGGAAATGAAAACCGAACTGAAAATAACGGTTCGATTTTGATTATGTTTTTCGGTTACAAAATCATAAAGAGCTGAACTTTCAAACTACATTTCCATTTTTTGTATTTTGAGGTCGGAATTTTCTCGCTGTCTAGTGATTTGTCTAGTGATTTAATTTACCATTACAATGAGATAAATTGAACTTAATTTTACGCATAAAAAATTTTATACAGCCTTAATTGCCTCAGTTTAAAGCTCTATAACACAATTAATTCTTAATTAATTCAACAATTTTTTGAGTCAAATTTGTAGCCAAGATAAAGGGTTGCAAGCTGAGAAAAAATAGTTTATTTTGAACTCGTATGAAGGAGTTATGGTCGTTCAAAGTAGGGCACAAATTATAAACAATGCTAAAAAAAACTGACAGCATAAAAACCTATATTTAGAGCTATGTAACTTAGCAATTAGTTAACCTGTTTAACCCTTTTTTGAGCCAAAATTATAGCCAAAACAGAGGGCTACAACATGGGAAAAGAATCAGCTCATTCTGAGCTCGTATGAAGGAGTTATGGTCATTCAAAATTGGACTAAAATTATAAAAATTGTTGAGAAAAAAGCAAGTAAAAAATGGTTCCAAAACCGAAATGTAACACCCAGACATCAAGTATTTTCCATGTTGACCCAAAGTATGAAATTTGTTGCAAAGTTGGTCCTTACGTCATGCGTACTTGGGGTGCACGCATGGCGTAGCTCATTAAATGAATCGTTGGTGCATGTGAGTAAGTTGGGCGTACTCATGAGGTACGCAGGGCGTACGCAGCAGATATGTAAACCCTAATTTTTAGAGTTTGAGCATTATTTAAGCATCATTTGATGAGTTTTGAGCAAAACATACATTCCTATGAACAGAATGACGATTCCGTTCACTTCTCCTCTGGACAATTCACAATTGCATCAAGTTCAACTGAAAAACATCCTAGTCTCTAATACCATTGATGGGTTTTGAGTAAAACATACATTCCTATGTGTGCATGCAACCCTAAATTGATTGAATCTAAGTTTTCTCTAATTGAACATGCAAACTTGAATCACAAAAGAAGAAACCCTAGGTTCTATGTATTATATTTAAAATTTCCATAATAAAGGGTTATAATACATACCTTTAAGATTGTTATTGTAAACAACCTTGAATCCTTGCTTGAAAGACCTTTGGTAGCAAGCGCCACAAGTGTCGCGCCTCTAATGGCTCACAAACAACCTAGCAACCAAGGAACACTTTTTGAGAGAGGAGAGAGAGAAGGAGAGAGAGAGAAAGAGAAGGGTGGAAGTTTTCGGAATTCCTCTAAGGAATCAAGTGGTGGACGAACTCAAACCCTATAGGGGTTTATATAGGTGATAAGGAAGGTATTGGATAAGGCAGGTGTATCCAAGATAACCCTAATCCATTAACTTCCCCCTAAGGCATCCAAGTCGCCTTAGAGGCCCAAGGAAACCCTAGGAGCATCTAGATTTCATTCACCTCCTTTAGGGAGGTTCTAGAATTGCCTAATGCTCAACTATTGAACATTATCACCTTTAGTCCTTGCAGTTTAAATTAATTCCTTTAATCCCAAAATTAACTCCAAATTAATTTTTGATTAAATATTAATTAAAGACAAAACTGCAAATTTGGTCCTTGTGGTTTGCAAAAACCTTTGGATGGGTCCAAAAAGTTTCCAGCTTGCACCGAAGGTCCAAAATCAAGGTTTTCATGGGTTTTTAGTCCATTCTGTCATATTCCATTTGTTGGGAGCCGTTAGTGCCATCACGTGCCCTCCATGTGAGGGCATTTTGGTCATTTTAGGTCCTAGCCTCCGTTGCCGCCACTTCAATTAATAAGATTGCAGACTGTACTTCACTCCTTCGTCTTCTCCCATACCTCATTTAGCAAGACGCAAAAACCCTAACCATTATCTGAGAATCGATTTTCGTTCATGCTTTTGAAAATGTAGGGACTTAGAAATGTTGGAGAGAATGTTAACGTTCAAGAAGTTTATGGTAAGATTCAAACTTTGAAAAAACTTTGAAAAACTCTGTATTTGATGATCAAGCTTCAAACAATTCTCTAACAATCGTCTCTTTCTGTTTTGAAGATGGTTACCCCAACATATTCTCTATTGAACTCCATCACGGAGGGAGTTTCACAAAGTTTCCAAATATCAGGTATATTAATAGGCAAGTAAGGTACTTTGATGTTGTCGACATTGATGAATTTTCTATTCATGAACTAGACTTGTTGATGAGAGAATTTGGGTATGATATGTAACATCCGGATTCCCAGGTTTCTTATTTTAAGTATTTATATTGAGTTTTAGGGAGGAACTCGGCGAGTAGGCGCTCAGACTCGCCGAGTAGGATCGCGTATTTCTTGTCTGATTTAACGAAGGACTCGACGAGTCGATGCTTGGACTCGACGAGTCCGCGCTGTTAAGTGAAACCCTAAATCCCCGGGCCTGTGCCCTATTTAAAGGCCTTTATGGCCTCCATTTGCGGCCAATGCACCCCTGAGAAACCCTAGAGAGCAAAGAGAAAGCTTGTAGTGCAAGAGGAGGGCTAATTCATCATTCTAAGTGTAGTTTTACAAGAAAGAAGGAAGGAGGACAATCAAGGAAGGTTAAGGAGCTCAGATCTATCACCCATTTGGTCAGAAGAGGCTGCTAGAGGTACTAATATGTGCTCAATCTCGTGTATTTGGTGATCTACTTGAATCTAGGGTTTTCTTATGCCTTCTTTGACTTAGATTCGAAGTATGTGAGGTCCCAAGGTGGAGTTCTTCTTAGATCTGGACCTTAAGAGGTCCAGAGAGTCCTATCTACCTTGCTTTTTGCTATTCCATTAGAGATATGACCCTAGGTTGCCATTCTAGAGGTCATTTCACCCAAAGAAGCTTTATGGACATTGCATGTGTGTAAAGGTCGGACCTTTACGTGATTATAGTGGTTGGGAAGGCCAGATCTACAGGTTAGAGAAGTAGATCTGACCTCAGAAGGTCATTTCAGTGTTGTCATGGATGCAACTCGCCGAGTCCATAAGGGGACTCGACGAGTCGAGTCGGGGTTGCCCCGCGATTCGTGACAGGTGTAACCCGTCGAGTGGGACGATGGCTTGACGAGCCAAGAGAGGCTGGAAGGATTCAGAGAACCCGCATGGAACTCGCCGAGTCGCCCATGTGCACCGGACGAGTCGGTCAAAGTTTGACCATTGACTTTCGTTGACGTTTAGGGTTCTGACAAGACTGATTCAAGAGATTCAGGAGGGGTAGAATGGCCTTCTACCCAATCTGTAGAGATGAGGCCTATGAGAGAATATTGATCGGGAATTTATTTGAATAATAGGAGGAGGCTAGGTCGGGACGTTGAGCACGAGAGTTTATCCACTTCATTGAGGTGAGTCTTCACTATACTGTACCTGAAAGGGTACCTATGTGTGACCGGAAGGTCTTGTATGCTATGAGATGTATGTGCTATATGCGGTCATGTGTTATGTATGTGTTATGTATGTTATGTATGATAAGGACCGGAAGGTCAAGATGATATGGACAGGAAGGTCAAGATGACATGGACCGGAAGGTCAGGAGGCTACGGACGGAAGGTTCGATACGGGTAGGACCGGAAGGCCTACCGGGATTCGGGACGGAAGTCCCCTGAGACACATGGATTGGAAGATCCTACAAGGTTATGGCCTGGAAAGGCGTATGTGTTGTATGTGATATTTTGGGGAACTCACTAAGCATTTATGCTTACAGTTGTTGTGTTATGTGTTTCAGGTACTAGCGAGGATCGCGGGAAGGCGTCGGCATGATCCGTACACACTCATAGAATTAGTTTGAGATTCTGGGATTTGTTTGTTAAATGACATGGGATACAGTTGTTGACATTGTTTTGATGATTGAAAGTATGATTTAAAAATGAAAATTGTTTTGAAATTTACGTTGTTACAAGTTGGATCAGAGCCTTGGTGAGGGATTCGGATGCACCTTCGGGCGTATCTGAACTCAAACGAGGATTTTGAAAGTTGTTCATAAAAGGAACAATTTTTCTAACGGAGTAAAAGATTTTGAGAAAAGTATAAAGGAGCAGTGTGTACGATCAGCCAGCACCTGAACGGTGATTTCCCAAAATACCCTTACATTATGTGTTATGAATATGTTATGATATGATAGCATGCTAGAGTGGATAGGTATTCATATTAGGACTAGAGTGGCCTGATTTTGTGATGCCTTAGCCTAGGATGGATTTTGCTGCTATGTGATGCTTGAGAGCGAGTAGGTAGCAGTGAGGAGCTGATGAGAGGTCTACCGAAGGGTAGCCTATACCAGTGAGATATAGAGTGCTTGTGATCTGGGATCCAAGGAGGAGGGCTTAGGGTGAATACTGATGCGGTGTGGACGGTAGTATAGGGCCCGTACTACTGAAGACACCGGAGCAGTGCCGCACGCTAAGTAAGAATCCTTAGGGTACTAAGGAACAAGTAGGGTTGAGTTATCGAGTGCGAGTATGCTCGACTAAGTCTCTGATATTATTATGTTGTATTTCAGAGACATCATGGTTGGGACACGCCACAGACCTGAGCCGAGCGGCGTGAGTGACGAGGAGCTTCGTCAGATGATCCACGATGAGGTGGCGGTGGCGATTCGGGCCGAGATTCCGGAGATGTTTGGGTCTATCAAGACACACATTGATTGAGACTTTTGAGATGAGCGGTACGCAGCGGTGACTGAGGCTACGGCGGCTGCAGCTACTGCAGCTGTGGCTGCTGCCAGACCTCAGGAGGTGACTCGTTTTGCT